TTTCACAGAAAGATTTTGAATATCATTTTTGTTCGTCGTCGTCGTCTTCTTCTTCTTTTGTGTACCAGTGACAGGTGTAATTTCTTCGCTCCCTTGAAGCGCCTCTGCCATATATTTGCAAACAATTTTAATACGAGAAAAAAAATCTACGCAAATAATAATTTACCCGTTCCGTCATTCGTCCATGTGGGGCATATTAATGATTCGGAAACAATTGAATTGTACATCCAACTTTGATATTTAAAATAAAAAGCGTAAAACCGAATATATAATTAAAAAATTCAAGTAAATAGCGAAATTTTTGCTGTTGATGGATTTTTTTCGGAGGCAGCGGTGGTAATTCCACCCGGTTCAGCAACGCCAAATTCAATTTTCAAGACAATAAAAATAAGAAAGAGAGATATATAGAAAAAAAAAACGGTTTTATGCATGCCATTCAACAAAAGCCTTCTCACAGCTTGGCACGTTCAATTTTGTTGTATTATTTTTTTGCATGCCGTCTTGTATTTCATGTGTGGTAATCATTTTCCAATAAGAAAATTAAACGAAAAACAAAGAAAAGAGACTGTGAAATCATGTAGGTTGCTCATCAACGATGCACTAACTCTGCTCACAATATAATTTGGTCATTCGATATTTCGGTGTACATAAATTACTCTTTTACTCTATCTTTCTTTTGTTTCAATGCTGCGGCGTCTAACTACTGGATATCAGCTATCAACAACAAGGGATTTTACTAAGAATTATTTTTTCTTCTCAGCGTGAACACAAAAACAACACCTTAAAGTTTGCATTTTTCTTGACAACTTTTCCGTCTGAAAAAAAAAACGCAGCACTCATCAAATGATTTTCAATTCATAAGAAAACTTGACCAAATAAATGACACTCAGCACGATAAAAGAACAAAAAAACTCAACCGTACTTGAGCATTCCGGTACTTTGGCTTTCTCTTCTTTTCGGGAGGTTTTTTTTTTCGTTGTTCGTGGTCTCTTTTTTTAATAAAAATGTTTAGTGTCTTTCATTATGAATGAAATTAAGTAATAGATTTTTGTTTTTGTTTTTTTGTCTTCATTCGGCCATAATCACTGTCATGTTTTTTGTTTCTCTTCCATTCAGTCACTTTGAATTTGCCACGGCGCAAAGAAGTGAAAGAGCATTGAAATAGCAAAAAAGGTGTGCCTTTTTTGCTCTTCTATCATGTTGATTTTTTAAAACATTTTTTGAAGTGCACCAATGTGTAACGAGTTCAGAGCTGACTAATAGAAAAGAAACCCAATTCAAATAAGTAACCAAAAAAAAAAAAAACATTTCTTTGAACAACAAAAGTGTTTATGAAAAAAATCGAATGCCAAACAAAAGAGACTTGACTGCAAAAATATCAAATACAATCAGAAGAAATGCTGATGATTGTTCCATCAAATTCAATTTTGTTTGCTGCTGTGCGTTTCTCTCTCTCTTAATTCTCGTAAACTTTGACATGAAAATTGAGTTTGGCCAATTTAATGTGTTTATCGGCGCAATTTATGCTTAGCGCTTTTAAGTGAATGTTCTGCCCTGAAAATTACACACTGTCAGAATCAAAATGGGACAATACTTTAGAATGAATGAGAAAGAAAGATAAAAAAACATAAATCAGAAAATGAGCAAGTAAATTACAGCCAGTGCGAATAAAAAGCCGGTAAACATGGTTTCGTTGGCGTGGATGAGTGAGCGTACATCGCCTTTTGTTTTGCAAAGATCATTGAATTCTTGATTTCACCAGTTTCGTTAGCTGTCGCTCTCTCAACTCACACAGTATTTGCTGCGCGCGTGTGTATCCATTCCGCGCCCTCAAAACCGCTCCTTCTTCTTCTTTTCGTGTTTTCCATGTCTTGAGTGTGCGATCAGAAGAGAGAAAAGAAACCATTGCAAAGCAATAACAACGCACGATTCAAGAATCATCATCGGAAAACGAGCAAACATCAAGAAGATGAGGAAAAAAACCATTTAACGATGTGTTAGTACATAAAATTATAATTAAAGTATTTGCTGGCAGTAAAAAAGAGTAACAAGCATCGTAAGAAAAAAAAAACAACACACATATACATATTGAGGCCTCTATGTACAGGTAGAATTAAAGAAAAAAGCGACAGATCGAGAAGAAGCTGAAAAATGAAGACAAGTGAGCGATGTGAATAAACCGAAATGAGTTATTTCCGTTGGCAAATGTTGACGCTAAGGCTGGCTGTCTTTCGTCTGTCATATCTATTGCCAAGTAAATTGTAAGCACATACACAAAAGCGCCTCGTACATTTTGGTTGAACATAAGCAATTAATCCATTTAAACTCCGGCGCAACAAAACACATTTTGATGATTCACTCTTGTGTCCCGTCTCTTTTGCTTACATTTTAAGCAGCTTTCAAATTGGTCGCCACTCACTCACTCACTTACTCATTCTCTTTTCACTGTAATTGAGATACACTCACGCATCACACATTTATTAATTCGAAAACCTATAATATTTAAATAAAAATACACATCGATATTTGCTACTGATCAATATAAAATTGACTTGATTATTATTATTGCTATTTACACAACGTTCATATATTTGGAAGGTGTTAATTGGAAGCTCAGAAGAATATTTCGAGTATTTTCCATTTTAAGAATATTGTGTATTAATGTCTCGGAGCGTGAAAAGTAAAATTCAAATTGTAGTCAACTACAAATACTCAATTTAAATGTGTTTGCGTGTCCATGGATAATTTGCAGTGAAACAATACATGAACAAGGAGGAAAAAAAAACATTTGCGTTTGTTTAATTAGATCTTGTCTAAATGATAAAATCGCTATTGGCCCGCAGAATACACACGTTAATTGTTATTGGTTTTTAATTAGCAATTTGATGAATGTGAATCTGATCTTTTTTTGCGCTGGTAAATGCTTGTGATTTACAGGGGGAGGAAAAAATTTTAAGCCTGACATATAGACGGCACTAGATACAAATTGTTCTTGTGCTGTAATTGAAGTACGAACTGTCAATAGTATTGCAGAAAAAAATTGAGTTGATATCTGTCGTCGTTTGTTTTCAACAGCATTGCATACCAAGTAACCTCGATATTTTTGAAAAAATGGATAAAATCGAATATCGTGCGGTGATTAAGTTTCTCACAAAAGAAGGTGTGACACCAAAGGATATCAATGATCGCTTGCGTGCTGTTTATGGGGTCCTTGCCCCATCGTATGCCACAGTAAAACTATGGGCAAAACAATTCAAGTGGGGTAGAGAATCATTGTAAGATGATCCTCATACAGGTCGACCAATTGAAGCAACAGCTTCAGTTGTAGTGCAAAAATTTGAACATCACGTGCACGAAAATCCTCGAATGAGCAAGAAAGTGTTAGCAGCAATGTTTGACATCTCAAAGAAGAGTATTTACAACATACTTCATGAAAAATTGCACATGAGAAAGGTTTGCTCACGATGGATTCCAAGAACGTTGAACAAATCACAAAAAAAAGAACGAATTGCTGCTGCACACGAGTTTCTCGAGTTGTTGGAATGGAATGAAACGGACACATTTGAGCGAATAGTGCCTGGCGACGATTCCTGGATCCACTACTATGATCCAGAGCTCAAATCACAGACGATGGAATGGCACAAACGTGGTGAGCCAGCATCGAAAGTGCCACGCAAACAAATTGCCACAAACAAAGTAATGGCCTCTGTATTCTGGGATGCCAAAGGCATATTATTGGTTGAATTCCTTCCAAAGAATACCACAGTCACGGGCTATTATTATGCTCAACAAATTCATAGATTGCGTAAAGCGATCAGAGAAAAGCGTCCTGGTTTGCTCACTCGAAAAGTTCTTCTTTTGCATGACAATGCACCGCCTCACAAATCATTGCTTGCACAAGCTGCCATCAGGGAATGTGGGTTCGAACAACTCCACCATCCACCGTATTCTCCAGATCTGGCACCCAGCGACTATTTCCTGTTCCCAAACACCAAAAGATATCTAAAGGGGAAGCAATATGAGTCCGAAGAAGAGATATCGAACGATATTTTCAACGTATGGGAGGACAAAGATGCCGAGTGGTTTGAAGGAGGAATTGAAGCATTGAAGCATCGATATGAAAGTGTCATTCGTGTTCATGGAGACTACTTTGAATAATAAATATAGTCATTTAAAAATACAATGTGTGTTTCTATATTAGGCTTAAAATTTTTTCCTCCCCCTGTAATTAGCACCAAATTTTTCTACCGGCAGAAAAAAATCGATCATTCTTTTTTGATAGACTAAACGTTTGGTATAAAGTTGGTTGTTTTTTCATAACTACTGTATTTAAGTGCGCATCTGCCTTAATCTGTTCTTATTACCATTGGTTTCGTTTTAATTCGCCATTTAAAAAAAAAGCACGCCACATGAGAGCAATTACCTGAATGTTAACTTCACATTTTGGTGGTACTTTCGAAAAAAAACAAACTACATTTTCTTTCAGCCATAATTAATTATCCGAATGAAATTTTAATTTGTCTATCAAATTGATTTTAAACCAAATCAATGGAGATATCTGCAGAGCATGTCACGAATATGCCGATTTAAATCGGCTTAAAATGCTAAAGCAAATTCATTTGTCAATAAGCATAGATCTACAACAACCATAACAGAGATACAAATTGACCGTTTGAAATGCGATTTTTTTCTCTTCTTTTTTGAATTGTTACACTTTTACATAATGCACATTTGCCAAGGAGAGCAAACTAAGATAGCGTCTTACATAAGTAAAAAGAAAGAAAAATTCAGAAAAACCGAAAAGAAGAAAATAAAAATAATTATATGAAGGAGAGACTCTCACAGCGTTAGTCAGTTCAGCACAGTATGGTTTCATAGCCGATTAAGTTTGCTAAAAATGCTTTCCTTCTGACATCCAATTACATAATAAAAATGTTCAAAATGGCAACAAAATCTTAACAAAATATTTCTTTTTCTTGGTTTTTTTTTTTCATATCTAGTGGGGAGCAAACGAATGAGAGAACAACAAAAGTCGACAATATTGTGCGAAGGAAAAACACCGAAGCCTAACAGTTGACAACGTCCACACGGTGCTTATTGAAAATAAATCGTGTCAAATGTGTTTCGCGAAAAACTATAGGTGAAGAAGCCCATCAATAATCCAATGCGTACAAATCGATGGTGTATCGCTGAAAATATAAAACATTCCCCCGGATTTAGGTGCTCTTTCTATCAACATAATCCAAGGTGTAATACGTGTGTGATTAACAAGTATAGCGGAAATAACAAGAAAATATACAAAGCTCCAAATGACACAGAAAACTTTTAAGAATAAACTGTAATGAACACGTGAAATCTTCATTTGAATGAGAACTGTTGATGAATGTGCAGAAAATTACGCGACATTTAACAGAACGTGTGTATTATAAAGAAAGAAAGAGAGAGAGAAACATAGAAAGGAAATGCAATGGGTCATGTGTATATTTTGTTGTAAATAACAATGAAGTGCGATAATGTAATTTGATGTGCTTAGGACAGACAGACAGACACACACACACACACACAGAGAGAGAGAGAGAGAGAGAGAGAGAGACCGAGTGAACAAAGTGAACAAGAGAAAAAGATTGAGAGCTATCGAAATTTAGGCCATTTGTAATTGCTTATCAGTTGTGTGTACGGCTCGACACTGCAAGCATTGAGTTTTGTATGGATTACTCAAGCTCATTCAGTTCCAATGAAATATCTATCAGTGTTTTTCGCTCCATTTGTGACAAATAACAAACAAAAATTGTGCGTGTACATGCATAAAATCATTTGAGCGATACGTGAGATTCCTTTAATTGCTTAATAAAAGCCCACTATAAATATAGTTTCATTTTTGTGTGTTGTGCGTTTAAGAGCATTGTCATATCCGCTTAGTGCGTTGAGATAACTCATGACTCGACCTATTAAAAATTCGTATATTGAAACCGATAAAAAGAACGAGAGAGAGAGTGAGAGAGAGAAAGAGAGATAGAAGAAGAAAAGTTATTAGTCGCATACAAAAAGTGATCAGATAGTGTTTGGCTCTCGTGATGTGTGGTGTGCATTTTTTCGATTTCTTGTATTGTATGTGCGCGAGAGATATTGAAGCATCCACACATTTGCAATTGCATCGTGCATAAAATCAACATAAAATGAGTAATAAAAATTGTGTTATAACATCATCATCATCATCATCGATCGATGGTAAAAGAAATGGGATACCGTGCGATGCACGTTTAATTGGTAATCGTGCGGAAACATTGTTGATGAATCGACAAATGCAAATGATGGACACTGCAGCATCACAGTCCAATTTGCGGCCACAGCGGCACAATCAAGATTTTTCAAGCGCTTCACATCGCAACGGAAATGCCAATTCATTCATAAATGGCGATTTGATCGATTTGTGCGATTCGACCAACGAACATTTAAGTGGTTCCAGTCGCGATCTCGTTGAAGCAATCAATAGTCAACTATTGGCCGAAATCAATGGAAATGCCGAACCAACAAAAAAAACTAGAGACTGTTATGTACTATATCCAACCAAAGTGTCAATCGACAACAATACACCAATATCAGGAACGAAATTAAATTACACGACGAAAAAATTGAACAATAGCGTTGATCTGTCGAGTTCGACGCGTTCGTCCGAAGCAATTGGCAAATGTAGTGAAAGTAATGGTTGTACAACAATATCTACACCAATAGCACCAGCACCAACAAACGAACAACATCAAACGGTTATACGTGAATTTAAGCGGCTTGGAACTTATTGCACACTTCGACCGGAACAACGACGTAAACATTTACTCAAAGTATTGCCAACTTTACGCAATTCCATGCTATTACAAACGATACTCGGTTCGAATGCAAACTGTGCCACAGCCGCTACCGCCGCCGCCAGCAAGAATTTATCCAAAATTACAACAGCCGACGAGCTGCTGGCCACAAACAAAGACATCGATTCGCTTCTCATTGATTTGGACGATTTCATAATTGACGGTAATACAGCGTACATGCAACGACATAATAACAATGAACAACAACAACGAAATTTTACATCAAGCGAATCATTCGCATCGAATTGTGATATTCAGAGCCAAAGATCGCTAAAAAATGATGCCGCTACATCAATCCCATCCACATGTTTAACGACTGCCGCCGATTCATCGGATCAAATCAGTAATGGTTGTATTAAAATTGATCCCGATAAAGTTGAAGACTGTCTACTTGAATTGGATGCCTATTTAGAAGAGATTGATCGTGATTATGTACTTGCATACGCTGCAAATGGGCCAAATACATCGTCGGCAACGACAACATCCACAATTTCACTACATAACAATAATAATACGAAAATTAGCGCAAATCAAACAAATGATTGTTCGGAAAAAACAGCGAAAAATCACATTGATCGGCTACTTAACATGGACAATTTGTTGAATTGTGACGACTGTGTCGCTACATCATCATCATCATCAACAGGACAAATCAATCAAATGATAATGGAAAATTGCATTGTGAATGATGCACGATCGACTAATAATGACGGTGCATCGAACTTACGGAAACAGATTAGCAATAGTGATATTCAAATGAATCGATGTGGAAATGACTATGCAACAACGAAAATAAATGGCATACAAAATAATATAGACAATAAACGGAAATCGAATGATAGTTGTAACATGGATCAACCATTGAAACGAGGACATAAATTACGTAACACGGTCGCTGTATCGGGACTAAATAATCGATTGCATCGATCGAATACACCCATTGTTGCCGTTACATCCACCGCCAACACCTCAACATCCATTCAAAGTGGTAAGTGATTTTGTTTTTAGCTCGGCGATACAATTTAATTTTGTATTCGAATTCAAAATGTACTTTGTCTAATCTCCGCGATAATTACATAGTATTTGTGCATACCACAATTTGTGATTCATTTCATCGCATTTTATTTTCGTTGTGCACATAAACATCGATATGTTGTGAAAATTAAGAAAAAAATGAACTCTGTTCTTTGATGTGTCGATCGATTTGTGAATAGAAAAAACTTGATTAATCAGTGTGAGCATAACGTTTGTGTGTGTGTGTATGCAAAAACAAAAAACGAACAGAAAATCATAAATCCAATTAGCATGCTGAACCGAATGAAAACGGAGGGAAATTGAGAATGAGAGTTTGAGTATAAAAAGAACGACGAAACATGATGTTGAGGCACCCTAAAGCCATTCTACCTTCCCACATATGGCAATTGGCAAATAAATCACATACGGCAGCTTCAAAATGATCAATAAATCATGTATTATGATCTTAAATGCAGAAGTCAGTTAAAACGACAGAACTAACAGTGGAAAGAAACGTTATTCGAATGAAAATAGCTTAAAACAGTTGATTTGCACTTCCTCATGCAGTTAAACTTGAAGTCAGTTAACTATGGAGTATCGTTACTTTGATGTTTCATAAAAATGTCTGACATCGGCTAAATGTTTTGTGTTTTTCTGCAATTTATTTTTTTCAAAATGATTATCTCTTTCCGTTTTTTTTTTTTGTTAATTCTTCTTCAAAAAAGATAACGTAGCAACGTAATTTTTTTTTGAAAAGGTTTTAGCAATTTCTTGAATGGATGGGTAAAGCCATCCCGATGGCAATATTGCATATCAAAATATTATACTTCCATTGAATTGGCCATGTGAAATGTGTTCACACACATTATTTTGTTTAAAATGCGATAAAATATGTATATCTGTCGTCGACACTATATTGTTTACTGTCTTTTTTGTTGTGGTTCCGACGCCGCATAGAACAAGAATTAAATGCCGCAAAAAAGTCAATGTAATTAAAGGAATAATAAGAAATGCGACACTCGTTAGAGAATTACAAAGTATTAAAAATGGATTTGAAGTGAATAAAAAAAAATGTTCCGTTCGGCACATTATTTAGCGTCTCGCGCGCGCGGGTGTACAATGTAAAATTTGTACATACAGATAGAAACGGGTATTTAATAGCATATTGTTGAGTCATAGCGTAAAGGTTATGAAGTTGAAATCATGAAAAGTCCATTGAAATGTACAGTGTACACACGTGTGCTAATCACTTCAAGTTCCGTTTCGGGTGTCACATTTTCTTTTTTGTATTTAGTTTTGTCGAATGAATCATAACATCGTCATCATTTCATGGTTTATGAAATGGAAAAAGTATTTAACGGCATTTTAATATTGAAATGTTTTACTTTTATTAAAATGTTAAACCGCATCAACTGACATCGATGACATTCTCAGAGTTGCTTGCGTGCGATTGCTTTCTTTGTCGACGTCGTCATCGCTCTTTGTTTCATTAATTTAAACTAAAACAAAATAGATAATTACGTAATCAAGCTATGACCAAATGTCTTGCAGAACGAAGCTTGCTTGGTTTATTTTTACCTCTCTACATTGTTCACCTAACTACTACTAATTAGCGCGCGCACACACACACAAACATAAATTACAAAAGGTTAACAAAATATGTCGTTCCTTGTGAATGGATTAACGTCGTACACTCTCGACCAGAACAAAGAAATCACCAATGTTCGTCGTTGTCAACAAAATTCGCAGCACAGAAATTAAACCAAAAATAAACATTTTTTGTATTACATACAAACACAAAATGTATGGGTAAAAAAAGCGTGAATAGTTTGGTGCATTGAATGCACGTGCTTATGAGGCAGTAGTGTCATTTCGCTCTATAATGACAAATCAAGATTTATACAAAGCACAATGGACAACACACGAATTATATACTCTTTGATGTTTTTCTTTTTATTCTGCAGAATTGTATTTAATTATTATCAATTCCGTGTGTGTGTCTGTTTCGTTTGGTGCAAATTAAAATTGCAATTTCCCGAGCCACTTTTATACCAATATTATGCAAAGAAATACAGAAAACAGTGGGAAAATGATAACAATGAATCAGTTTGTTTCATGGAGATATTTTTGTTGTTTGTTTTCTTTTTTATTCTCCTATTTAGTTGACAATTCGCCAAAGAGAATACGATCGAAAAATGCAGCAGTATCTTGGCGACGGCTATCGATGAGAAAGACATGTCCAATCGATTTACCTGAACAACGTTCACCGAGAGACGATGCAACACGAATTGCACGTACACTATCAACGGCAACAAACCGATCAAAACCGTCGACGTCGGCCAATGATTTTGCAAATGGGATTACGAATTTCACAAGTCGAACGAATTTCAATGGAAATAATGAAAATTATTGTTTTAATGATACATCATCGTCGGCGACAGCAGGAATGGCGATCGCCACAACAAATGCTTCTTTTTTTCAATCGACAATCAATGGTGGTGGAAACAATTCAAATCAAATGTCAACACCATCGAATGTTCAACATGATCACCATCACGTCCTTGCTGAATGCAATAGTTCCAATCAATTGCCTGAATTGAGCTCATTAAATAATGAATTTTTGAGCACGATTTTGACAACAACATCAAATTATCAACAACAATCAAACACAAATTCCGTATTGTTGCAACACGAAACCAATTTCACACAAAATATCGATGAAGAAATTGACCGTACAATAACATCGAATACGATGACGACGGCGATGGCGACGACGACGGCTACGACAATAGCTCCAACACCATCTACAATAACATCAACATTCGATGAATCGAGACCGAGACAATTGGGCAGACGGTCGGAAATGCGATCGCGTATCGTTTCAATTACAGCTGAACGTAGTGCCGAAGGCAATCAGGTAAACATGTGCTCAAAACTAACAAACACTTGAAACAACGATCCAATGATGAAATAATCAATTTTATATAATTTAACTTAATGAAATGCACACACCGATCGCAACAACGACTAACATTCTTTATCTTTTCTCTTTCTTTTCACTTCCATTTTCATTAGAGGATAATTGTTAATTGCGATACGGATAATACGCAATGTGCCACACAATCAAATCGATCGACAGCGACAACGACAGCGACAGTGTCAACAAGTCCTACAAATCAATCAAGTCAAGCGCAACCAACATCTTTGCAACGATTATCGAATCAGTGCCAATTTACGGCATCCGAACCAAGTTCATGTGCATCGTCACGAAATCCAAGCCCCGTTTCAATTGCATCAAGCAGTGAAACAAGCTCATGTGGATCTACATCTGCCGGTGAAACAAACATCGGGTAAATATTAATTAGTTTGCGAATAAATTTAAGGATAAATTAAAATTGAGAAGTCACAAGATTCAATGTTGAAATGCCGGTCGATATAGGGAAAAGAGCGCGAGAGAGAGAGAATTAGAGGAGTTCAAGTATAGGCATTTTACTTGATTTTCACCTTTTTAATGCCCGTATATCGCGCCGAGTATGATATTCTGCAAATACAAATAAGAATTGAAACGTCACTTTTTATGGCTACCAGTTCAACAACGCGTATTACCGCAATTATTCAATAATAATAGTATCGATGACATAGAATAAATATGAAAATAGTGGTAAATGTGAATGGATACAGAATAGAAAAGAAACACATGCGCCAAATAGCAGCAACCCCAGCAGTTATTTCAACATGGTAAATGTATATTTTTCAAGGAAACAGCTTGCTCATGCAAACACACATCACGAACAAGCACCACACAATGTGCACAGCGCACACAGGCATTGTCGATTCAATCGACTCGATTGTAAGGCATGACACGGATGGCAATCCAAGTTTTATTCAACTATGTACAACACCGTTAACTGGAATAAAATCGAACATCGAATCATTACTATGCCAACGGACGACGGTCATAACAAAACTTTATAACGAATGGCCATAATGCAGAATATCAATTAGATTGAAGGACCCTCACTTTAACCACCATGATTTTAGTAGCAATGTCATTGCACGTTTCATTTGACGTATTTGAAAAGTTTTTCGTGTAACAGGAATTCGGTGCATTTTTTTACTCAATTTTATTAAAAAAATAGTTAACTATTTAAGTTTAGTGGGTGTTTTTGACGAATTAAAAAAAAAAACACTAAATGCGATATATAAATGTTTTTGATAAAATGTGAGTGAAATTGATAAAAAATGATATCGCGATTCAATTAATGTCAAAGAAGACACCATTGGTTATCGATACGATAAAATGCTTTTGATGATAATCGCAATTATAACAGCATTGAAAGGGTAACATCATGTTTCGTAGTACCAGTTTTTTTTTGTTTGAGTTTTTCGTCGGCAAATGTGCATGTGTGTGTGCATCATGCAGAGATTTGCATATTTCATGAACAAGATTTGCATGTTTAATGAATGAATTTCTATAAAATCAATGAAAAATGCAGTGTGTATTTTGTGCACACATTCACTTGGCTTTTCTTTCTCTCTCTCTCGCTCTTCCAAGTTACCTTGGACTTGATGATTAAATCATCTATCGAAAAAAAGAAAAAAAAACACAAAAACATTTAAATAATTTAAAATTAAACAATTTTTGTCGTTGCTGTTCTGATTTTTATGTGCCTGAAAATTAGATCAACTCCGCATAGAAGTATGAATGTGGCTAGTGATATAGAAACATCGACTACAAACCGAACCAGCGGAGGAACGACACAGCGGCAAATGAACTCAAAAACAAAAGTGTGGCCATTTGGCTTTAGCCGAATATTTGCGGCAACATGCTGTACGCTTGGCCTATTCAATATTTCACGTTTTTCCATTTTTAGCATCATTTTTGGTGGTGAGTGTCTTGATTTTACTGATATAATTAATTATTCCTATAATTTTTGGTTGTTTTTTCATCACTTCAATTGAATTTCCAGCCAATTCATAAAATTTGTCCCATTAATTTTGCATTTTTTTGTCCCATTTTCAGGTAATTTCATTGTGCAATTTCTGCTGATATCATTTTTCCTTGGCATTCCAATGCTATGGTTACAAATGTGTTTGGGTGCAAATATAAAAGGTGGCCCGATCTCAATGTGGCGCGTTTCACCAATTTGCAAAGGTATCGGCATTGCATTGTTGCTGGTACAAGCATTGATGACAATATATTCGGCAGTAAGTATCGCTTGGATGCTTGTTTACTTACGGGATTCATGCGTGTCCGCCCGATATCCATGGTATCGTTGGCAAGAAATTTTCGAATTTTTTCGCGGTCCATCCGACAATGGCATTGCGATCATGTCAAATACAAGTGAACCATCGTCAACCTCATCAAAATTGGGCGAAACGGTAGGATTAAGCAAACAAAAATGTAAATTTGTTCTGAATTGTAAATTGAATTGTCATTTTCGTTCAAGGTTGCCGATTATTTCAACGGTGTGATTTTACAACGATATCAATTGGGTCCTGGCGGACGAGCGTCCAATGGCAATGGCATTGGTGCGGTTCGATTTCAATTGGCATTCAATTTATCCGTTGTTTGGTTAATTGTATTCGTTGTACTTTGCAAAGGTTTACGTTTGTATGGTAAGATTGTGATTGCACTTGCATCATTTCCAATGATTGGATTGGTTGCGCTTACCATTAAAATGTTGACGCTACTCAATTTGGCTGCATTTCAAAATATATTCCCGGCAACCGATTGGCAAGAATTTTTTGTCAATTCACAAAGTTGGCTGTCGGCGGCTCAAGAGGCATTTCTAACGTGGTCATTGTTAGGTGCATCGATTATTTCAATTTTTAGTAAATCGTCAAAGTATCAGCAAGATGGTGATAAGACTTTACGACGCGATGCCTTGATTGTGGTTGCATTTACATTAATCGGTCTTATTTTGGCGGCCATTTTCGGAAATGCATGTGTTCAAATTTTGAATGATCGCGGTTTTTTCTACTTTCCTGGTAGTTTTGAAACGATGACATCATCCGTTTCACTTTTACCATCGAGCAAACCATTACCACCGCAATTGGCAACGAGTCTATCAAAATGGCTACCGCGATATTCAACGTTGTTGGGTGAAAGTTACAAACGCATCGATCCGAATTCATTTGAAAGTGGTTGGCAACCAATACGACTAATTACCGAAATATTTCCAGCCACATTGGCAGCCGCAACACTAGATCATTTATCGACATTTTGGAGTTTACTTGGTTTTACCATGTTTTTAGTATTCGGTTTGGCACAATTGTGTGCAATGTGGAAACCATTGGCTACATCATTATGTAATTATTCGGAATCAATATCGGCAACATCAACAACAGTACTTTTGACATGTTTGGCCGGTTTGCTGCTTGGCATACCGTTGACCACAGAAAGTGGTATTAATATCATTTACTTTTTGGATTCGGTCATTGGTGGCGCTTGGTTTGTCCTGCTGCTATGGACCGGACAGATATTTGCGATATTTTTAGTACGTGGTCGTCCATATAGCGGTAAGTTCGACGACAACAAGAACCTGCAAATAAAATGTCGATAATGTGAACAAACTTTATCTATTTATTTTTTTCTGCTCACTTTTTAGGCGATATTTTGGTGAATCGCTTGCATTTGGGTCTTACTTTATCCGCTTTTGTGGCACTCTCCTGGAATTTATTGCTTCCAATTGCCTTGCTGACGCTGTGTGTTCTTCAATACAAAATTTCATATTCATACGATTTCTATCATTGGAGCGGCATCATTTCACAATCATATTGGCCGATTTGGACGCGAAAAGCCGCCGCTTTCATTCAAATTGGCATCTTTCAGATCATACCGATTACGGCTATCGTCCAAACCTATAGATATTTGAGCAAAGGACCACCAGATATACTGGACGTAAGTTAACGAATTACAATGTGGAGCTTATTGAAAAAATACTAATGGCTTTTTTTGTAACCTTTTAAAATATTTGCAGCGTTTTCAGTTGCTATATCGACCACCAATAAGTGCAGCACAACGATCACACAGATATCCACTTCCACGAACCGAGCGCACTTCTCATGCAACATCAGCCAATCAACGACAATCAGAAAGTACGGGTTCGGCATCGATACCAGCCATTGCGGTAACATTGGAAAGTAATCCGGTTTCATTAACATTGGACGATGCACCACCAAAATATACACCGCCACCATCATATACAACTGCAACCGGTGCCCGGATTGCCAAGCTGCTACGTAACAGTATTCGACGCAGTGTTCGAAGGTAACAACACGATCTCATGATAAACCATAAATGTTATTATTTCATTTCGTTTTTTTATCTTATTTTACTGTAATATCATTAGGATTTTGGGAGAGCCAAATTGTAATAATCGTCGACAGCGTGCAGCATTACCAACGCACACCGTTGAATTGTCGTTTGATCAAAATCCACCCGAATATTCGACGATAATTGCAACAACGGCATCGGCGGCAACAACTTCCTCAAATCATGATGATCATTCGTTGAACACCTCTAATATGGATGATGACAGTGAATTTGGTCCGCGAATTCTTTTCAATAGTGAAACGTATCGACATCAAATCGTCAATACACGTCGCCATACAACGACTAATTTTCCATCACAAAAATCGCTCGAGAAAATGGATTCATTTTCATTAACAATGCCACGACGTCAAACCGCCATTTCTTCCGCATCAAATGATCGAAGTAATTTTCGAAATTTAACTGCACATGATGTTGCACAATTGCTTCGATCTACACAGCAGCAGCAACAACAACAACAACTTTCAACATCATCATCGTCACCACAAATCGAATTTATACCGGATACTCTTGCACCGAGCAGCATTGATAGTGCCACATTTCCCATTGGAGCCGATTTGAATGATACACTAAGCAACGATGATCACATTGATATTGGACAAGAGCAAGAAGCTTACTCACTAACTCGTTCGGTCGAGGAATTGGTGCTGAATGAAGTGCCAATAGGTGAAAGTAGCGCAGCTGCTACATTTTGTGATAAATAAAGATTGAAACAAAAGAGAGACAGAGCGAGAGAATAGGGAAAAAACAATTCAAAAGCCCATCAAATCCTATTTCACACCAAAATTCACATTTTACTACAATTACTATGTGTACAAACTATGTATCATAAATTTTCATCATTGACATACACTATTTTGCAAATTAGAATACTACTTAGATTGCAGGAGATCATGTACATGATCATGAAAAAAAGAGAGCGAGAGAGAGGAAAACAAAAGGAGAATTGGAAATATGATCGATAGTCAACTTAGATAGTAATTCAATTGTATTTTGAGATTAAGAAACAGAACACAAATCATTTGATTTTATTTAAAAAAAAATTGCGTTCATTTATTAAATATATAGTTCTTAGCTAAGAAATTGTTCGATTTTAATCCAAAATCAAGCAAATCGCGACACGATAGAGTCGAATGCAATCGAACATTTTACAATTGACCAACAATGTTAATAAAATTAATAAATTAAAAAAATTATTCTATTAATAAAAAGAAATACTTAGAGAAAATAAATCCTATTGAAGATTTCATTTTTTATATTAAATATATCCACACAAAAACTATTCTAAAAAATTAAAGTGTCTAGATAACGCAGCACACTAGGATTTACGCAAAATCTATCTGATCTGAATGAAAGTAAATAAGAGAAATGTGTGCGATGAGAAACGAACTCAGGATCTCAAAGGTTTTTACCAGAAATTCAAATCGCTCTTTCTATTGCAATGCATTGCTGTTATCGTTCTGAACGTGTATTACTTACCATTAACTCTCGTACATTAACAGTGTAACACTATCATGCCGACTGTATACGTTGTCACCTATAATAACGTCGTATCCAAACCACACATCGAATGAAAATGAATTTGTGTTAGGAAAAAAACATTGAATTAATACCATTTATTTCATTTGGCTAAAAATATAAACTTATTATATGAATAAAAATAAAAAAATGAAATTGATAAATTGAATGAAAAATATTATTCTAAAAGGATGGCAGATATGGTTAAAGCATTTCTTTATTTTAATGCATTTTTTTAAATTTTTGATATTTCCTTTATTTTTTAAATCACGGTCAAAAGAGTTTGAACTATGTTCAACTTTAAATATCATTTACGTTTTTTTTTTTTTTGGAATATAAATTGAAATGAATATATAATTGACGATCAAGTGACAATTCATTCGAATTTACATGTCAGCGTTTTTAGAAGAAAAGAAATTACTAGAATAGATAAAAAATTACAGTTTTTGTTGTATTAAATGAAAATAGTTTCGATATCATGTGACTTAAATCATTATGATCGTCTTAATTTCGATAAGGCTAACTTTGCTGCTGCTCGTTTGGCATTATCTTTGTTGGTGCCAAAACCATGGACCAACAATATTTCGCCATTGCACGTAAACTGAAGATTGACCAGTACGATGCCCGTTTCTTCATCAACTACCGGCGGTTCGAAATCTGGATTTGCGTTTGGATATTCGTAGAGTTGACGCACCATTTGAATTGGCACATTTGCCATAAATTTGTGTAATTCAAACGACATCAAACGATAGATTACATTCCATGTGGCCTGAAACAATAAATATAAAATAATATATTTGAACCGTGCAGTCAATTTGTGAATAAATAATTAAAAACAAAAAAAAAATTATTCTTACATCGAGATTATTGCCACTGTCCAAAAATATTCCACCAATAATTGCTTCCATAACATCACCCAATGTTTTTGGCACATCCACATAATCAGCCATTTTGCAATCATAATCTCGCTCTTCCATCAACAATTCCACATGATCAGCCACTTCGAAATTATGTTTTTGTTGGAAGTCAACAAATCGATTGATTGATTCCGTTAAAACTGGACTCTGTGACAAAATATGCACGTGAATATTGTAGCGTACGCACAAACAGGCCAATGTCACATTGTTCACAAGTGCCGATCGTAAATCGGTCAATTTCCCCGGATCCATGTGTGGACAGCGCTCGAATATGTAAGCGGTGACTAAAAAGTCGAGAACGGCATCGCCCAAAAATTCAAGCTGTTGATAACAACCGGTGACACGATTCGTTGGATACGATGGATGTGTTAGGGCTTGTAGTAAATAAGCACGATCTTTGAACGTATAACCAAGGGAATCTTCGAGTTTTTTGTGGTTTGCCAAAAAATAGTCCACTTCATGATCCGAAATGTTGGTTCGAGTGCGCGGTGAGCGCAATTTGTGTTGTAACATTTTGGTTATGTCCTCTTTATTATCGCTTGGTAAGATTTCAAACCATTCCAATACTTTGAATGTACGTTCGACACCAATTGATTTGACGCATGCTCCTAAAATGGCTTCGATGCAATCGGCAATTGTTTTATCCGCCAATCGTTGTTTGCCGAGGAAATTTTGCATCGTCGATTCATCGCCGCCAGCATTTCTATCGTCCAAAAATTGTTGGATAAACTCAGCAAAATTTGATTGTGACACTTCCCCACGTTCCAGTTCTTCGTTTGATAGAATTAGTTTATAAAGAATTTCGGGTGTAATATGGTATTCTTGCATGCTAATCTGTAATGTTTGAAATAAGAATTGAATAAATAAATTTTCTTTCAACAAAACAAAGAGATAATTTTGGTTTTACCTGAATTTGATCGTCAACCTTCAGCATTGGCGGTTGCCAATCAGCTTTCGGATTGAAATGATGCACTTTTAACATTCCGGGGATATTTTTTCTGATACCACTGTAGCACAAATGTCTATTACCAACAATTTGCCCTTTGATTGTGGTCAAGAAACCTTCATGCCAATCGGGATGACTTTGAATCAAGTATAACGAAACGCTGAATTTCAAAAATGCATCGCCCAACACTTCAAGCAATTCCATATGAAATACATCGGCCGACGAAGCGGTTGTAATTGCAGCCAAAATTTCATGCTGTTCCACGCCTCGTTTGATTTCGGTTGTTATTTTTGTATCGAGGATATTGATCCGGAGTCTATCTTCCTCAACCACATCACATAATGCCGGCACATTTGTGTGGAAGCGATGCGGAGATAGCATACTATTTTTATTTGCGTTTTTACTTTCGTCTAATGATAGTCCAGAGAATGCACGATGTATGAACTGATAGTAGTAGTCAATATCGACTTCATAAACATTATCAAAATGCCGTTCGAGATCGATAGGCTCTCGAATTTCTGGCCCTAGAATGGCCGTATCCGAATCAAAACGTGCAATATCACCTGAAGTCAATTCTTTTGGTGTAATTTCATCGGCCTTCGGAAATACAATGGAATTTTGGATTGGAGCTCGTTCATTTGATGGATCTTTATTTTTGGCCATTTTTTCAATCAACGGATCCGGAACGTAATTAACAATGTTCAGACCAACATAGTTATTGATGGCATTTCGAATATATTCTGCATGCAAAATATATGTAATCCGATGAAGAACACTGGGTAAAAGAACTGCTTTCAACCATAAATCACCGGGATATCGGAAGTTGTGGCACAATTCGGGAATCAAAAATTCGGGTCCACGTGGTTTTTGTTTTGTATTTTTACGACTACCATCGTCACCCTCGCCTGGTGTCAATTGCTTGAAATGTGTCGTTATTCCTTTGACACCGATCAGAAATTGATTATCATTTACCACTCGATCGATATTTGGATATTTATTCAGCACATATGATGCATAGTTTGGAAACATATTATTTGGGAATTCACTTAGTGGTGTTTGATGCTCTGATACCTGTGTCACCACATATCTGGTATTTTGATCGGCACGATACCACGGACAAATGACAAAGTGCTCCCACTCATCTCTTCTGTACATGGCATTCGTACGTTCAGCAATGGTCTTTCCCTTCAATTCAGACCAGGTTTGGAATTGTTCGACGATTTGCCAATTGATTTGTTGATTGATCGTTGGAACAATAATCACCGAATCTTCTTGATCATACACGAAGAATGTCTTCCAAATATCCAAAATGTATTTGAACAAAACACAATGGAATCGCTTGAGTTCGTTCAATTTCTGGGGATCTCCTAATTTAATGACCTTTGGGTTTGCGCTAACGCAGCATTTAATTTCTCCAAACGATTGAAAAAACGTCATAGTGCCCATTCGAGGCAATGGTTTCGTTGTTAAAATTCCATAACTACGCGGTGATTGCAAAAGACTATGGAATATTTTTATATTCTCGTCATGGACATCGAAATGTAGATCGGACACTTTAAAATTCGGATCCATTGTAATTTCGTACAAATAAAGCTGCACATTCGTCCGTGGCATACTAGCTTTTAATTCACGTGGCGTTTGAATGTCATGCATTCGATAATTTTTACGTGTGCCCGCATCTTTTGATTCTGAAAATCAAATAAAATTTATTATTTTAGTTAGTTAGCATTTTTTTTTTCAATCTACAAATTATTGAAACAAAATTGCTCACCATGTTTGAAATCATTCCATGTGCGGAAGTATACATCTTTGTATTTGTCCAAACACTTATTTCTATTGATTGGCATTAAATTATCAGTTAATTCGCCAAAATAGTACAATTGTTTTATTGCTTCAAACGCTGCACTACGTTTTGCCAATTTGGAAGTGGGCATTGGTTTACTCTGACAAAACATGCATAAATAGTAAAAAAACTCGATTTGTAACAGTTAGTTTTTGGTTTTCATCAAAATCAACTTACGATAATCTTCTCCTTGATCGGAGACTGTATGGGCAACATCAAGCTACCGATATATTTTCCATTTTTATCAATAGTTTCTTCCCACTGAACAGCCGGAACGGTAAACATATCATGCGGCAAACTTCCGCAATAACGATTAATCAAACCAGCGGTCGAATTATAGTCAACCGTTGCACCCTTTGGAGTTGTAAATTTCTCGTTATATTTTAATTCAATTGCTCGGTCAATGTCATCTTGCATGGGTGGTGGTCGATCGATTGCTTTCAAAACCAAATACTAAAAGTGAACAATTCAAATCTTGTATTAAACTTTGTTTATTCACCAATAAAATCACTTTTAACTTACATCTTTTAAAATTCGATTGACTTCTTGCCATTCGGCGGCCTTCATTTGCAACTTATTGTGTTCGGCAGATGGCGTCATCATTACAAATTTACTTTTTGGCATGCGAGCTCGTCCTTTTCTTTGAACATACGATCGGAATGTTTTCGGCGCATCGTAGGCAATTACTAAATTGCATTCCTGTAAATCGATGCCCTCCTCCAACACGCTTGTGGCAACAATTAAATTGATCTCACCACGCCTGAATCGATCCAAAACTCGATTGTTGTTCTTATTATTCATAAGCGTTTCTACCGAATCGGGCATGAACGCATTGCGACCAGTCATGAATTCCACGCTAATATCCAAATTTGGAAATGCGTTTGCATATCTTCTGATAACATGGCACAAAATGCGTGCACTGTACCTTCGGTCCACAAAAATGAGACCTTTCATTGGTTCCTCGTTTTCTTCGACAAATGTCTTCAAACAAGATAATAATTTTTGTACTTGCGGCGATGAATTTAGTAAGATTGTTGCCGGATCATCGGAAATCTTTTGTTCGTCGATTTTTTCTTCGGTTTGCATTTTTTCTGAATCGTCTTCTTCATCATCATATAGATTTCTCATTTGAATATGCAAAATTTCTTCGAAAGCTACGAATGTATATGCAAAAAATTAAAAAAAAAAACAGACAATGCCAAACTTTGCCATTAGATCACTTACCAGTAATTAAAGCTCGTGACACCCATTTGGCAGAAGATGTGTCCGCTTCACGTTTTTTCAATTCCATATCAACAATTGCGGCCAAATTTGATAGCGTTGCACCGTACAATCCCAAATTGGTCATTTGATAAGTGAAATCTCTACAAATGCCTTCATATTTGGATTGCACTTTCGGTTGTTTATCCTTGCGACGTATATCTCGATTTGTTTCGTGTTGAACGTCCAATGGCCAATTTTTAATCAATTTATGCATTAAATCGACTTTGTTTATGATGAATTCTTGAAATGATGAGGGGAAGTATTTTTCGTAAATAATAACTTGCTCGACGGGACGAGTTGAATACATCAAAACGTCATTAAATGCAGCACCCTTGGCTGTTGTTATTGTTGCGCGGAATTTTCCTTCCAATTTTCGTAAATCATCTAAAACGTTCATCGGTTTTATTGATGACGTTGTCAACATGCCGGTTAAGCCGATCACACGTGGATGATCCTTTTCTGGAACTTCGCAAAACTTCTCCATCAACATTAACATTGGATGTTCGCCTTGGGCATTGTGACACTCATCGAATACTATTAAATTAAAATTCGAAATTTTCAAATAACCATGCCGAATGATGTCTAAAACAATTTGAACCGTCGCGGTGATCACCTATGTTTTACGAAATTTGAACACAAAAAAAAATATTGGTTCAATTTTTTATACTGTTTTAAAGAATAAGTAGTCAATTTAAAGAATTACATGATTCTCTTCGAATTCTGTAAACCATTTTTCACGACCCCATGCATCCACATTCATATCGCCGGTGTATACGCCTACATTGAGTGGTGTTGATTTAGCAATCACTTCAGCCTGTTGATGAGCCAATGCAACGGTATTTGTCAGAAAAACCGACCGTTTTCCACCTTGCGATATTGGCCTATTCGAAAAAAAAAACGAAAAAACACAAACCCATTAAATCGGTCAAGTGGGCATTGAACAATCGTTGCGAACGTGCTTTCTTTTAAAAACAATCGACAAATTATTATTATAGAATCATATAAGACGATATTGTGTATATCGCGTAGGCATAGCGATTAAAACCTTGCCTGGAAATATATGATGTAAAAAACTCTGTGTGTAAGGATGAAAGAAACACATTCAGAAATAATTTCGATAAATTTGAATTTTGATTGGTTTTTAAAGTTTATACTATTCTCAAAAGGACAGGTCATCCCTTGGCTTCACTTCAGTGAGATAACTGTTGATATGCGATTAATAGTTTAGTGGGGGCGTTTTCTTAAAGGAATGATCTTTTACATAATTACATTTTTCCATCAATTTATCATTATAGAGAATTTCCGAGATACTCACTTTTCCAAATCTTTGGCAAAATGCTTCAATGCCATAATTGCAATGTAGGTTTTTCCTGCGCCCGTTGGCAGGTATATAATTGTATTGCGTTGAATGCATGACTTTAGAATTTCATCTTGGTAGCCGCGACTTTTGAACTCTGTTTCATTGAATGAATCCTGATTTTGAAGATTTGTTTTTGTCATTTTTTATTTAATTTAATTAATTTTTTTTAATATACAACTAAAAAAAATGTGTTTTGTAAAGAGGTAATGTCAAATGCCTTTATAAAGTCCCTAACGCAGTTTCTTATACTCTTTTACTCACACACAAACAAAACAAAATGTCAAAAAACAGCTGTTCGACCGAACCATTCATAACCAAATTCATGCTACTAGTAGATTCGGAATGAAAATAATGTTTGAAAATTCTATGATATTTCGAAAAATGAACTAATTATTTTGGAATTTTTTAATCTGTTTAGAATAAAATAAATTTTTAAACATTTTTTGTACTAGCAATATTTTAATAGACATTCACTTATTATTTAATTTTCACAATTTCCATCAATTCACAAAATTTAATTCATAGCACTAGCATGAAGTTGGTTATATGTCAACCTTTATTCATTCGTATAAAAACATATTATGTTCACGCACACATAAATGTTGGGGAGTTTTGACAATTCCTCTTTGAAAAATTAAAATATTCAAATCGATTTCATTGGAAATTTTTTTTGATATTTTCGTCTATCAACGTCTTTTTTCTTCAAAATTTGGTAAATTTCTTCAATTTATCGACTTTTCGTAGCTAAATATCATATCATTGAATAGAGTTTGGTAATCCTGGACATAAAATTATAATGAAATTATAATAAAATTATAGTTGTCTGGACTTTGGGCAGAGAATAAGGAAGGAATAGAAAAGAAGAAATATTTTTGGATAATCATGTTCTTTAATTCACCCTTAAAGAAAATATGTTTGTTCGTATTGAGATATGCATTCATATGGTTTTTTCCTTATTAATTAACCTTCTTAAATGAATAGAACATAACAATGTTTCCCTCAAAAAGTTGTATTTCTATTCGAATGTTTTCGAACGAAGTTGTTGGCACTAATAGGTAAAAATGGTCGCGTATATAAATTACATTTAATTTTGGTAGGTTTATTATCAATTCTTCGA